ATATTCAAACTGTCACTAGCTAATCATGTAATCAAACGCACTGCCACTTGTTACTTAAATCACATATTGCTTCACCAGTATTTTAAAATAAATAACTGTCCTAATGAGCCCAAGTTGTACATTTAAAACATTATCTCTACTTTTCTCCTAGCAGCCTTACTTCATAATCTATTAAAAACATAATATTCAACACTCAAATTTTCAACCCTTTCTTTACCCATTCCTTACCCACATTTATTTTCTATTTTTTGTTCTTTTATTTTTCTAATTTTTTAGAGGAATCAAATTTTAATTTTCTGTAATGTGATATTGTTATTATCTGTGATTCTTCTATCATTTGTGGTGGTAAAGTAAGCTATTACTGGAATATATAGCTAGAATAGCTAAAGTAATAAAAAAGTGTTTACTATATTAAAATTATTAATTTCTCAACTTCCTGACAACAATTGAAAAAGGGCTTGACTTAACTTGTACTTCAATTTAATCAGAATATAAGACGTTTTTAGACAAGTCTTCCCAGGAAACTTGTGCGGTTTTTCGTTTTGTATGTCCACACATGAGTATAATATTTTAGACAATTAGGTCACGGCCGATTGCAAGTTTTTTTTTTTTATTTATTTTTTTTTTTAATTTTTATTTTTCGTCATTTGACACATTTTACAATGTTAACCTTACATTCAAATAAATTTATACATATGCAAGCTGACTGGGGCAAGTAGAAGACAAAATGTCTTATCATCAAGCCCCTTCGTGAAAATAAAAAAAAATAAAAAAATAAAAAACTTTACATTTCCAATAATATATAAAAGAGTGAAATTAAAAAAAGTTAAAAAAAAAAAAATTAAAAAGTTTAAAAAAATCAAAAAGTTGAAAAAATAATTTTTAAGTTTGACAAAACTAAAAAGTTTGAAAATAATAAAAAAGAAAAAATTTTGAAAAAATAATTTACAAATCCGTACATTTGCGTATACATATCCAATAAACTTCATAATATATATTTAAATATACAAAAGATATTTTGAATTAAAAAAAAATTCTGAACATTTTATAAATTTAAGTTCATCTACTCATATTTTTTTAAACAAAATTAAAACAGACAAACAAAAAGAAACAAGAAGAATATATATAAGAAGGATATATGTATATATATACACATACACACATACATATACACATACACATATACACATACACACATACACACATATACATACACATACACACATATACGTATACATACATACACATACACACATATACATACATACATACATACACACACACATATACATACATGTATATATATATATATATATATATATATATATATATATATATACATATACATACACACATATACATTTATACATATACACATATACATACACACACATACACACATACATATATACATACACACATACATATACATATACACATATACACATATTCATATATACACATACACACATACACATATACATACATGCATATATACATATATATATATATATATATATATATATATATATATATATATATATATATATATATATATATATATATATATACATATATATATATATATATATATATATATACATACACACGCAAAATACATATATATATATATATTTTTTTTTTAATTAAAAAAATGAAAGAATGTACGTTGTTTTATTGTTTAAATTTAGTAAGTGTTTTTTTATAGCTCTTTTAAATATATCAATAGATTTTATTTTTTTCATATTTTCGTCAAGAACCGAGTTCCACAAGCATGGTCCCCGACATGTAATTGAGAAGTCAAACTTTTTGAGTAATGTTAGTGGGATGCAGTAATTATTAATTGAGTGTCTTGTTTTATATTTATGATTAATAAGAGAGAAGTTTTTATAAAAATATTTTGGAATTAATTCGTTTTGAAGTTTAAACATAAATAACAAGTTATAATAGATGTTTAATTTGTATACATTTAGGGCATTTATTTCCTTGAGTAACGGCTCAGCACTTTCGTATCTCTCTATGCCCGAAACTAATCGACTTGCTTGCTTTTGTTTTGTGTAAATAGTTTTTAGGAAAGATGAGTGATTGTTTGCCCAGGCAATATTACAATAGTTAATATGACTATGTATAAACGAAAAATATAAATTTTTTAAACATATTTTGTTCAAAAGAGATTTAGTCTTATACATTATCCCTAAAGTCTTTGAGACTTTGTTCTCGACTAGCTTTATTAGGCTTTTCCAATTTAAATGTTCGTCAAAAATTATTCCAAGTATTTTCATTGAAAACACTCTTTTTATTTTAATATTGTTAATAGCTAGTTCTTGTAGTGTAAGTGGAAGATTCTCGGATTTAGATGGTTTAGCAAACAAAATATTTTTTGTTTTTTCAATATTCAACGAAAGTTTATTTGCTATAAACCACTCATTGAGATATGTTAGTTCAGTGTTTACATTACAAAAAATATTTTTTAAATTTGAATCAGAATAGAAAACATTAGTATCGTCAGCAAAAATAATATAATTAAGTATTTTTGATGACAAATAAATATCATTAATATAAATTAAAAACAGTAAAAGTCCAAGTATTGATCCTTGTGGAACTCAACAACTTATTGACTCAAATGGGGAGCATGTTAAATCAAATGGTACTACTTGTTTACGATTTTCTAAATAACATTGCAGCCACTTTAAATTAGAGTGAGCTACTCCGTAATTACATAGTTTGTTGATAAGAATCTTGTGGTTGACAGTATCAGAGGCTTTGGATAGATCCAGAAATATTCCGAGAGTGTAACTATTAATTGTTTTCAAAACCATTTAGAATTTGGTTCGCAAGATCAATTACTGCATGCTCCGTGGAATGGTTTTTGCGAAAACCAAACTGTTCATGATAAAGAATGTTATTAGTTTCAAGATAATTGTACAGTCTGTTGTGCATAATACGCTCTAGTATTTTAGAAAAACAGGAAAGTATGGAAATTGGTCTATAGTTAGATTTTATCGAATCATCGCCGCTTTTGTATATTGGAATTATTTTTGCTAGTTTTAGTTGGTCAGGAAAAATGCCGTTTCTTAGGGATAGATTAAAAATTATAAAAAGAGGTTTCTCAATTATATCAGAGACCGCTTTTACAACATCAGGGTTAATTTCATCTAGACCCACACTCTTATTTGTTTTCAAAGTTCTTTAGGAATTGCGTAAAAAACTAAGTTTCAAAAACAATGAAAGCTAATCTAACAAAAAAATGAATTTAATATAAATTTAAATAAAAAAAAATAAAAACAATTTAAATAATTTTTGCACTGTTTTTGTTTTTATTTCTTTGGAGTGGTTGTTGTTCGTCATCGGCAACAAAATTTTTTAAAGCAAAAAAAAAAAAAAAAAAAAGATGCACTTTTTAAGTTGACATGAAAAAAAATGATTTTCCTACATTTTATTTTTTTTATTTTTTTGTGATGGTAAAAAGACAAAAGAGAAAATATAAAATTCTCTCTATTTGTAAAAAAAACAATATGATATGTATTTTGTTTTAAATGGCTATGTAATAATTGGATTTCAGTGAGTCTAGATCAGTGATTCAAACTTTTTTTTAATATTAGTACATCTTAAAATATCTATTTAAATGATTTTGTAAGTGTAATTCATATTTTTATATTTTTGATTTTTATTCATATATAAAATAAGAAAACTTGAAATTAGCTAATCCTATTATGTTGGATGCAGTTGTAAATGGCACTAAATTAACTGCACATAATAACTTGTATATTTTCATATAGCATTTTTGACAAAGGAAGAATATGCGAAAGCTCTAAAATTCGTTTTGAATAAAATAACAAACAATGGCTACGAAATGAACCGATATCGGTTCAATTTGTAATTAATAAGAATATTCTTCTCACTGCCTTCAATGATAAAGATAACTCTGCTCTTATTTAGCTGTAGTTTCTGGCAGATCCAAGGTGAAGTATGATTCTTCAATTAATAAAACAAAAAAACAAAAAAAATTGGCGCCAATAGTTGCATTTTTTTCATCTTCTTAACTATTCTTTGCAACAGATTGTAATTTGCTCCAAGTTGGTAAAGAAAAAGAAGCTATAGCTGCTTTACAATTATTAGAATATATGAGTTTTTGTATGAAAAATAATTTTAAACCAAAATTTTCGTTTACAAAATAAAAATATATACAAAAAAAAGTTTAGGCTTTACGTTTTTTATAATATGAATTATGTATTGGTTTCTTGAAATGATAAAAAGAGCCCTAGAACTGCCTAAAAACACCTAAATTTAGTAATTGAATATGTGTTTAATTTTTTAAATGAATATAATCATTTTTAATCAGAATGCTACATTATTATTAGTGTTGTTTACAACTTTCATGTTTTATGAAATTTAAAATGGTACTTAATTGTGATACCTAGAATACGGATGCCAGGTATTCCAGGTATCACAATCAAGCAAATAAAATATACCGTTACATTTGTAGTATAAGAATCCTTTACGTAGTAAATATGGGAGTCATCAGATAAAGTTATTACTTAAGACCAGTTTAATTTGATTATGGTTAAAAAAATATGTGGTTTGTAAGCAATTTAGTTATCTATAGCAACCCAAAACTAAAACTAATTTCACCATTGAAACCGTAATTCTTAAATTAGTAAACAGTGCAAAAATGAGTCTCAAATCTTTTTTATATGAGGAGATTTTAGTTTTGTCCAGTAAAAGTGAATTCTGGTCCACTACGCATTGCATTAAAAAAAATGACTTTTTGTATATTTTTCAAAACTTAAATATTAACTTAGAAATCTTTACCTTGATAAAATCTTTCATTAAATACCGTTTTTTTTTCTTTTAAAACAATAACTTTTCAAAATATGCAATTGAAATTAGTAATTTCTGAAGTGGTGCAAAAGCGTATTTTTGTTTTGCATATGCATTTTTTATATTTTTGTAAAATTAATTATTTTGTAAAAGTTTTATCTTTTTTTTTTCTTTTTTAGAAATAAGGGAGTCTTAATTTGTCCATTAGACAATAGTGTTTTAAATCCTAGCAAAGTAACTATTTTTAACTTTTATTAATTTTAATTTTTTAAATCATCTTATATAACTTAGTGTAATTATATCGAAAAATCTATTTTTTGTACCTAAAAATATATCTGTTACTAACAATTGATAAAATTTTTTCTCATAGATTTTTCCGGATAAAGCTATTGAAAGAGCTGTTATGCAATTAAAGGTTAAATGTAGTAATGTTATTAATGGTTGTGAATGGACCGGAGAACTAAAAATACTGAATGTATGTTATTTAAATTTTATTTAAAAATATCTAATACAACAATTTTACTATATCTCGGTTTTGAAAGGCCTACAAACATTCTTCATTTAAGTTTTTTTTAGTATGACTACATTTACTATTTGAAGAGCGTTTTGCTAAAGCAAAAGTATTTATTTCATTGTTTTAAAAAAAAATCTTTATTCCTGGCAGAATATGTTTTGAAAATCAAAAGTTTTTTATTCGTAAACAAAAATGATGAAGAGTTTTTTTATTCATACTGACATTGTTAGGGTTCGTTTTTTTAGTCAAAAATCCGAATCTTTGAAATTTTGGGAACAATAGCTTAGTTCCAATTTAGAAACTCGCTCTTCACTTATAAATGGAATTATAAAATATAAGTAATTATATAACAGTTTAACTGAGGCAGGCGAAAGTTTTTTGATTAACTATGGTATGCTTACTTGATTTATTAAGACAAGTTTTTATATGCAATAAAATATAAAAGGATAGATATTTCGATTCATATCTAAACCGTTTAGCTTGTTTTTTAAACTTAAATTAACCCTAATAAGATTTTATTGCATGTTAAAATTATTTGTTAAATGTTTTAACCAATAATTTTTCAAAATGCAATAAAAAAAAGTGATGGTTTCTTAGATAACTTTGTAAAGATAATTTAAAAAAATGCTACTTGGCTGTATTTATACAACATTTATTCAGAAATTTCTTGTTATTTCAAGGTAATTTAAATTATTTTTTTTAAGAAACATTTGGGATCTTGTGAATATCAAACACTAAAATGTCTTAATAAACCGTGTTCTTCCTCACTTTTGCGTAAGAAACTAAACGAACACATGGAAAAACATTGCATTTATCGTTTGGTTACCTGTCATCATTGCAAACAGAAGATTATTTTTAGTGAGATGCAAGTAAAAACCATAATTTATTTTATTTCGTTTTTTGTTCTGCTAATATTTTCATTACGTTTTAAAAAAAAAATTAACTTTAATTTAATCTAAAATCAACTTTCACACGCACGCACACAAACACACACACACAAACACACACACACGCACATACACACACACATGCACACACAAACACACACTCAAATACACAATTTTTGAGCTTTTTACACATTTTCTGGTATTTTTACTTGATGTAGTTAAGGCGATTTTAAAATATTACAGCATCTGTATGATATTTTGCTGATCACAACATCCTTTTATTAAATAAACAGACCCCTGAACTATGACAAGACGAAAAAAAAAAGTATAGGAGTTTGAAACTAATTAAAAAATTATAAAAATTTATTTGAAAAAACTAAAAAACGATCAAAAGTAAATTTCTATGCTAAACTGCTTGAAAAAAACAAAGGAAACCCTCAAAAAATGTGGAGTGTTATTAGAAACTTAATTAGGAAAAATAAAATTGAAAAAATTAACTTACCGCAAAAACTTATTATTGAGGGAAAAATGATTTATCATAAAGTAGTTATTATTGAGAAATTAAACAATTTTTTTCTTGTTGTTGGCCCAAACCAGCGAAAATTCCAGTTGGTCGAAAAAAATTTGATTCATATCTTGCAACAACTGATTGAATTATGGAAGAACCGATTTTAACCAAAAGTAAACTACATACTGCTTTTAATAGTCTGAAAAAAAATAAAAGTGCAGGTATGGATTAAATTAATGTTAATGTAATTAAATCTGTTTTTGATATTATCGAACCCTCATTATTCAATAATTTTAATCTCTCCCTTAAATCAGGTCATGTTTCAGATAAATTAAATATTGCAAAAATAACACCTATTTTCAAATCTGGCGATGAGACCAATATTTCAAATTACAGACCAATCTCAGTTTTACTCTGCTATTCTAAACTAATTGAACGCATTATGTACAACACACTTTATAAATATCTATCTGAAAAAAATATTTTATATAATAATCAACACAGTTTTGAAAAAAATCATTCTACTGACCATGCAATAATTGAATTGGTTAAGCATATATCAAATGGATTTAATAATGATTGTTGAATTATTGATTAATCAATACGGTTTTGAAAAAAATCATTCTACTGACCATGCAATAATTGAATTGGTTAAGCATATATCAAATGGGTTTAATAGTGATTGCTATACAATAGGGTTTTTTATTGATTTATCCAAACTTTCGACACAATAAATTATGAAATTTTTTTGAAAAAATTAGAAAACTATGGTAAACTTTCTTTAGCTTTTATTAAAATGGTTTCAAACCATTCGTATAAAAGATAACGAAAATAAAATTGTCTTTTTCGTTCATATTTTTGATGATATTAAATAATCAGCCCAAATACTTATGTTTACATATATTGCTTTTTTTTTATTTAAACAACGCATTTTATTTTGTGTTTTTATAACTTTCATGATTTTCTGTCGTTTTTACTTTTTTTATTTTTAAAATTATTTTTCTGGAAGATTTGTTAGCAACAAATTATTTTATTGCTGAAGTAATTTTGTTTTTGTTTTTGTATTTATAGTGTCTTTTTTTCTTTTATCATTTATTGTGCATGTAAACTTTTGTGCGACGGGGCTCGGTGATAAGACAACCTGGCTTCTTCTTGCTCCGGCCAGGATTTTCTTTTATTGTAATTTCATTTTTGTAATATTTATCAACGGCAAAATAAATAAATAAGAAAAAAATAAGAAAAAAGCGTCCTATATGTCTAACCCTAGATGCCTAAAGGCAATCATCGGCCGTGTAATACAAAATCAAGAAATAATAAAACAGTTAAAATATAAAGTTACATTGATGTGCTCCGTCATCATAACAACAAACAACCAAAAGAAAAAAAAGAAAAAGGTAGCACCTTGGCATATTCAGGTTGTTTAAGTCCAGTCTTGGGTTTACTTTGATTATCTGCGGGTGACATCGTTCAGTTTTCGTGGGATGATTTTAAAACGTTGTTTTATAATATAGCGGTGACTTCTACACTTAAAAAGCCCGACAAGAAAGTTTTTTTAGCAATTATTAATTTTTCAAATATATATCATGAGTTCATAACATGCTATGAATTATCATATAATACAATGAGTTCATAACAAACCATATTATTTATTGTTCAAATCATAAATATTTCGAATTATTAATCTACCCGACAAACTAATTCTGTTGTTACGACCCATCAAAAAGCCATTAAATACAAACCGTTAAGTATTACCGAATTTCCGACATTTAAGAGTTTTTTGTTGTGAGAAATGACAAAACCTCGTTTGGTCATTTCTCACAACAAAAATTTTCTGCCTGACCTTTTAGATAAAATTACGGATTAATGGTAGAATACAATATCAATGTCGTTTAGGTCACGTATAACTAGAAGAGTTGTTACTCTTGTTTTGCTTATGTTATCATATATTCATCTTTTAGTAAAAGGACAATTTAAGTCAACCTCCATATTGTCGTCAATAATATTTTTTTCAACTTTGCACAACTTTTGCTAAGTATTATTCAGTTAAGACAACAACTTTTCAAAAAAAAAATTATTTAAAAGAAAGGTCTAGAAGTTAAGTCGAACTACCTTAAAAAGTTCGACTGGCCTTAAACAACCTGAGTAATTCTGTTAACATTTTTTTATCTTACTTTAATAGTACTTCTATAAAAAATTTTGTGCAATTTGATTAGAAATTAAAAATTTAAAACTAAAACTAAAAACAACTAAAAAAATAAAATAGTTTTAAATGAAATTGGTATTTTTTTTTTTTATTTTTTTTTTGTTTTGTTTAGTTTTGTGCTTCAATTCATTTTAAGCAACATTTTGGTATAAAATATAAAGTTTAAAAGATAAGAATAAAATAAAGTTGAATGACAATATTAACCGATAAAATATAAAAGAACTTGGGGACTCGTAGAAGACCGTTAGGTCTTGTCGTCTAGAACCGTTAACATGATAATTTCTATAATTTAAAAGTTATTCTGATAATACTATTTTATTTTATTAACATTTGGCTGTATGCGCGTGTAAAAAAACAAAAATTATTCAAGCAAGACTCGAAGCTGCAACTTCAGTTTACGAAGTCGACGACTTTACTAAATAAGTTAAACGTACATTTAAATATTTGAATAATAAGTATACTTATTTGTAAATTTTAAATTCTTCTCTCCGTACAAAAAATAAATTTAATTAAAATTAACTAAATTAATTAACTTATTGCAAAATTAATTATTTAGTATTGTATTGTCATCAAGCAAGAGTATGTATGCAAAATATGAAGAAAATCTATCATCAGGAAGTGAATCAAAAATTGATTGCAAAATTTGGTTTTGCGGCCGTGCAAATAGCCTTTTTAGAATGGAAACACAACGGCCGTGCGAATAGCCTTTTTAAAATTGAAACACAGCTGCGCGAATAGCCTTTTTAGAATTGGAACGTGCCGTGCGATTAGAATCGGCCTTAAAAATTATTGAATACAGAATTATCAAAAACCCAATAGACTTGTTCCGTTCGGTTTTTAATCATTAAAAATAAACCAACAAACGTTTTGAAGAATACGCTTATAGTACTTTTTTATTTATAATTTGGGAAGCAAATTGATTAGTCTCATTTACAATAACATCACAAATTTCATATGTGAAATGAATTTTAAACAAATCAAAAGGATCCTGTTCTTGTTATACCTAGAAACACTGGTAAATGCAAAAGGTTAAACTCCATTACTTGGAGAATCAGATGTCCATTTGGGTATGTATAAAGATTCAGAAAGCTCATTCTCTAAGGAATTGTCACCAGAACTTAGAGTATCGACTAATACAGGCATTTCCTCTTTTATACCTAATTATAACAATTCTGGTTCTTAACTTTCTCCATCAAAAACATCAGATAAACTACATTCTTATTCTGAAACCACACTCAGCTCTTTGCTTTCATCAAATATAAAATTATTTACCTCTTCGTCAGTAAATATTCGCTTTTTAGATAATAATTTTTGCACTTAAATAACTTCTTTATCTGCCATATATAAAATTAAAGTAAACACATGTAAAAGTGAATTATTGAAACTAAAGCTCTGTTATTATGTAGTAATAAATTTTCTGACGATTAGACGTATAATTACTGATGAACAAGAAGAAAATATGAGGAGATGCATAAAACCGTAATATTATGGCAAGGACATTTGGGAAACACTTTCAGTTTGCATAATATATAACATTGACATTTAGAAACAACTTCATGTTTGCAAAATAATACGGCATTGACTGTTAAAGGGCAAACACTATTCTATTAATTAAATTTTTTTCTTTAAAAAAACTTTTTTCTGAATAATAAATAAAATAATATTAAATGGCTTTATTATTTTTATAAATGAAATTTGTTTTTCAGTTCTTATTAAAAGGGCGTTATATAAGTAATTATAAATATATTTGACAATAAAAAAAACCGCTACCAACTTTAATTACAAATAATAATAATAAAAAATATACAATTAACATAAATACATGTTTTAAAACATTAATTTTAAAATTGATTTTTAAATGTAAAATATATTTTATATTTATTTAGTTTTTACGATTCTAAAATATTTTTGTTTCAGAACACTCGTAATGAAGAAATGTTTGTTACTTATAATAAAACTTTAAGAATATGATGGTGATATGGATGGTAATAGTAGAATAGAATAGGGCCTTCTTGAAGAGTTCTTGATAAAGGATGGGGGAGGGGGTTAACGTGTCTGTTTTTTGCCCTTTAAGGCTTTGAAAAAATATTTTACTAACCAAGATGTTAACAAACAAAAAAAGATCTTCGTTAGCTATTATTTGGCGACTCGAATATCCAAATTTTCTTAATAATTTTTAAACAAAATTTCGTTGAGGAGCTGGGGGGGGGGTTACTTTCCCGATGCGTTTCCTCGAGACAGTTTTTATGATAATAATGACGATGATAATGGTATTGATGATAATAATGTTTATTGATGAATGTGCTAAAAGAAATATTCAATTAAATAAATGAAAAATAAAAATTAAATTTTCTCGTAAATTTAAATTTAGATTCATGAAGAAAATTGCGAATGTTTACCTCTTTGTTGCGTAAATCAATGTGGCATGAAAATTATGCGTAATGAGGTTTGATTTAAAATCAAAATAACTGTTTTATATAAAAAGTTTCTATTTTTACCCAAGTAAACATTTGACACGTTAAAAACTTCTTAAAAACGTCTAGTTTACATCTAGACACCTTCAACACATCTTTAATACGTCTTTTAAACGTCATGTGTTTACTGAACATTAAATTCATTCGGGTAAAAATTTTATCTTTGAAACTTTTCATAGATGTCTTCTCATATTACTAATATTTGCGCTAATGAAATTCTACCATGTCAATATTTGAACATTGGATGCAAATTTAAGGTAAGAAAATAAGTTTTAAAAAATGAAAATCTTTTATACTTTAAAAATTAAAATTGTATAAAATTGTTAAATAATAATAAGCAAGAGATCTGCTATACATCATGCTGTTTATTATTAGTATATCAATCAGTTATATATCATCTATAGATACTGATACCAAACCACAATATTTAAAAAAAAAATCAACTGACCAAGTTGATTTTTTTAAATAATAATAAGTTAAATTTTTTATTGAAAATTCGTTGTTCAAAAATTTTTTAAATTTCCAGTGATTAAGTTTTTAGAATGTATGTAACTAACTTTTTTACATACCTTAATAAAAGGTTTTAGTGATACTTTAAAATTTCTGTGAAAACAGTATTTTATTTAAAAATTTGCTAATGCAAGTTTTAAAAATTTTATGCCTACTTTACTAATACACAATTTGTTTTTACTCAATATTTTAACTTAAATTATAAAAATCAAATTAAAAGATATAGAAAAATTACTTTTAATAAAAAAAAACTTTACTATTTCTAAAGAATTAGTATGTCAACGACAAAGTGAACACAAACAGCGCTTTCTTGTATAAAAAAAGTTAAAAATTAACAATCAAAAAATGATTGCTTTTCAAAATAAAAGTTAAACCAAAATCTTTGGGCATTATATATACGGATATGGGCTATTGCTATAAAAACCAATTACCATCACTTATAACTTTCACTTTGATTTAGTAAGTTTTAATTAGATTCCATAACTAGAGACATTAAAATAAGTGGAAATCGTCTATAAACATTATATTATTATGTTGCGCTTACTTTTAAGAAAATACACATGAAAATACACATTTAAAAAACACACAACACACAGTTTTCTTTCATACCATTTTCTTGTTTATACTACAAAAACATATTGAAAAAATTCAGACTTTTTTTTCAGCTTGATGTCTTTTCTAGCATTAATAGAATTTGCAGTTTAGGACTAAAAAATTTATATTAAGTTTTGATTGGTAATTTTATGTTTCGACAACCAATAACCTTAATCACAGGTAAAAATAATAATAAAAATAAGCAGTAAGGTGTTGCCACTACAACTTTTATTCTGAAAGAAAAAAATAATGTTCCCAATATTAAGTTCATATAAAGTAGAACTGGCTGTCCAAAGAAAAATGCCGTTTTATGATTTTCATGTTTTAACTTCTTTTAACTTTTTTTTAGGTTTATTTTGAATTTCATATCGGAAAGTGATCAGATATTAGTGTTATAATTATTCCACTTTTTAGCGAGTTTTTAAATAAAAAATTTGTTAGTATATAATCAATTAAGTTAAGTGAATTTCTTGTAAATGAGAAAGGGGCAGCTTTGAACATGTGCAGGTTTGAAAAAATGAATTTTAAAAGCGTTTATGATTTTAAACTTAGTTTATTAATATACCTGACTGGCATTTATTATTAAAAGACGTTTAATAAACGTTTTTTAAACGTCTATTAAACGTTCATTAGGTAAGATTGTTTAGAAGACTTTTATAAGACATTTAAAATACATTTAGAACGTAACTTTTAAAAACAAATGCCCGAAATCAATTTCTGAATTGTGATTTTTTCCCCATCTACGTGAGTTCATATTTTTAAAAATTCCCTACTTCTTTTTATTTATTATGACCCCTCCCTGTTTACTTTGCACAAAAGACTTTTATGTCTGAGTGAAACTTTTCTTATTATGTATATAAAAATCCCTTACTAAATTTGGGTCATTATCTTTTCTATAAAAATATTTATAAATTTAAATTAAACTGAAATTAAACCTATATCTCATTCTTGAAATTCACCGTGTACACTACTAAAAATAATGAAAACAATTTTAATATTGAAAACTAATTTTTAAATGATTCTTATAACCTTAATATTACTATTCTCTGAAAATAAATAGTATAGTCAAGTTTCTATTTATTGAGTATAAACTAAATTCAGAATATATGCTGATGCTCTACCTCCACAGTTTAAAGGTTGAAAGAGTATCTGTCTGGAAATTATTTCTTTAAAGCATATGAACCACGTCAAGGCTCACTCCTATTCATGTGTATATTTTTTTATGCATTACGATTGAAGGCATATGACATAAAAATATACCATCAATTAGCAAACTGCTTTTGTATGCACATTTTTATTCCTAGATTACTATAAAATAGAATGTATTATGGCAATGTGTAGTTGTGGATCAAGACTTTTGAAGGTGTAGGGCTGTTTTAGAGCAGGAGGGCTCTTTCCATGAATAATCAAAAAATTTATTTTTTGTTTAATCATGTTATTAATTTAAAAATATATTTATCTATAAACCGAAGCCTAAAAAACTATGGAAACCAGGGCTATAGCACTGGCAATGTAACTCAATAAGGAAATAGACAAATTTCTTTATGGAGTTACAAAAACACAACCCACAGATAAATAACAGATTTAGTCAATGCAATTTTCAAAATGTTATTCGAAGAAAATTTTTACTCACCACTCCTTATTATACCATTAAATTTTGGATGTTGGAATAAAACGACGCATTAACATACGATTCTATTGAGGTAAAAACCCGTAAAACACGAACTAACAAATACTTTTAAACAATAGCTAGCAATACCAAACTATGGCAGTTACCAGATTAGATCTAAAATAAATTTAAATATTACAAACAAAACTTTATTTAATTGAAATTTTATTAACGTATGTATTTTACGAAATGTTTTATGAAATTTTATTGCGTATTATGTAATACGATATTTTATTGAAACTTTTTTAAAGAGGCTCTATGAAAAGATTGCGATGACGTACTGTCATCCTCATCTTCTTCGAGCCCCTATCTGTTTTTACTTACTTTTTTTTTTTTTTTTATGAAGCACGTTGTAAAATTCTTATGTTATAAAACAGAAAAGAGAAAAAAAAAAAAAAAAAGATAACTCTCAGATAACACATTATGAATAACTAAACCAATAAAAAAAAAACACAACTCTTAGATTTTAGAACCTCTATAATTTGGCTCCAACCTTCAACAGTATAATATATATAAAGTAAGGCTAAATAATAAAAAATATAAATAACTGAAAGTTACTGCTAGGTATACACTTAGCACAAAGTGGCGTAAAAAAAAATATTTAAAAATGGCGCAAATAATGAACTTCAAAAATGGCAAGAAATTGAGTGTAAATGTCATATATTTAAACTTATATTGAGTTTTTTTGACTTTTTAATAGGCAAAATGATTTGTTTTCTTACTTTTATCATTAGATTTAAATAAATTTTTTCACATTGAGTAAAAAAGAAATACTTATACAAAAAAATTAAAACATAAAAGAAATATATATATATATATATATATATATATATATATATATATATACATATATATATATATATATATATATATATATATATATATATATATATATATATATATATATATATATATATATATATATATATATATATGTTACGCACAGATCGTGAAATCGCGCGTTTCACGATCTGTGCAATATTTTGCTCATTTCGTAAAACGGATAGCGCTGTTGCGCAGATTAAGAAATGCTGAAATTTTACAGGGTTTTTTTTAATATTCAATTTGACTTTTTAATATTCAATATGCCTAATAAATATTAATATTGACTTAAATAAGAACTTGCTACTTAAACGGAGTGCTGCTACATCGACTCAGGTTTTGGGTTAAGCAGGTAGTCTATTAATCATAAAAATCTATTTTTACTATAAATAATATATATTACGCAGGGTATGTATTAAATATATATATATATATATATATATATATATATATATATATATATATATATATATATATATATATATATATATATATATATATATATATACATATATATATATATATATATATATATATATATATATATATATATATATATATATATATATATATATATATATATATATATATATATATACATATATAGCATATATACTATATTTAATATTATATATAAATTATATATATATATATAGCATATATTACTGTTACCCGTTTACATTTGTGTTTTAGATCGTTATGGAACGGAAGTTATTTTTTAGTTAAGGTTAATGTTATTATCAATTTTTTTTAGTTAGTTAATAGATTTTAAATTATTGTATGTTTTAATAATTGTTAAAAAAGTTTATAGGATTTAATAATAATGTGTATTATTTTTATTAAAAATTGATAAAAAAAAACGAAAAATATTTATAAAAAAAATGAAATAACTAAAAAAAATTAAAAAGATAAAATAATATAAATTATATTACGAAATATATTACAAGAGCTGTTTATGTGAATAATTTATTAATTAGCCTAGTGATTAGTGTTTATGTTAGTTGTTAATTAAGTTTGTAGCGAGATTGTGGTAACATATGAAACTCTGAGTAGCAAATAACATTATAAATATTAGCATTTAGCTAACTCCATATGCTGCGGGTAACAGTAATATATACTATATAGCTCTAGTTTATCTATTGAACACTCTTTATATATATATATATATATATTTTATAATTTACAAATATATATTATTAAACATGATAATATAAAGATGCTATCCTTAATATTCACATATGTACACTTACGTTTTTTGTTGTGTATAATATCTTTATATATGTTATGCATATAATACCTATAGACCTTTAAAAATGATTTACTTTGTAATTTAAAAAACTAAAAAAGAAAAAAAGGGTGAAATCGAAAGGATTTAAACCCGCGCAAAGCACTTTAACCACTTTAGCAAGCTATAATATTATCTTCGAACACTGTTTAATAATCAAAGCACTTGTTAACCTAAATAAAACGGCATATAAATGCTTTATAAAAATGTAAATTAAAATTAGGCAAATACTGCGGCAAAAAGATTTTCAAGTAAAAATAAATCTGTAACCTTCTATATAATCTTATATATTATTGCCAAATTTAATCCTTTAAGTAGTAGTAGTCAAAGTAATGCAGCAACTTTATATTGCCAGTAATCGACTGTTATACCAAAAA